TAGCCCCGCCGCAGCGCCGCTCCAAACTCGCGTCCCGGGGCAGCGCCGGGGCTGCCCCCGCGTCGGCAGCGCCCCGGTGGGTGCCCGGCCCGGCGCCTCGCCCGCCCCGGGGCCGCGCGGCGGCGGCTGGAGGGGGAGCGCCCCAAGGAGCCGGAGCGGCGGCGGCGGCGGCCGCCCTCGGCGCCCGGGACAATGGTGCTGGACAAGGAGGACGGTAGGTGGGAGCGGGGCGCGGGGCTCGCCGGTCCCTCCCGGGCGCCCCGGCGGCGGGAGACGGCGGGGAGGGAGGGAGGGACGAGCGGAGGGAAGGAAGGAAGGAGCGGGGGCCGGGGGGAGCTGCCCCGCGCCGCTGCAGGGCGCTGCTGCCCGGCCTGTCCCGCACCGCTCCGCTCACAAAGGGGTCCCGGGGACGCCCGGAACGGCGCCCCCTCAGCGCCGCCGGGTCGCTGCCCGCGGTGTGCAGGCCGGGCGGGGCGGGGCGGCGGTGACCGCGCTGGGGACACGGCGGCGCTGGCCCCGGCCCCGGTGCGGGCTGCGGCCGGCGGGGCAGTGCCTGACACCCGCAGCCCCGTCACTGGGCCGCCATCGGCCCCGGTGGCCTCAGCGGGTGTCCCCGCCGGGCCAACTCCGGTGGCACCCGAGGCCGCGGTGCCGAAATGCCGCCCCGCGCTCCCGCTGCGGGCAGGGCGGCCCTGCGCGCTCGTGTAAATTGCCATAGAACGTCCCTGTGTCGGGCTGGCGGGGGGCTTTAACTCGGAAAAGTGGATGCCAGGCTGAAGAGACAAGTGGGAGATGCTTTCCTCTTTCCTTCGCTTTTTTTTTTTTTTTTCTCCCCCTCTTCCTCTTTTCCTTTCCCCCTCCCCTTTTCTTTTGATCTGGAGTTTCTGCCTCAGAACGGTGAGAGCCCGCCCGCCGCGACACCGCCGAGTCGGACGGGGCACGAAGAGCAATGCCGGGCTGGCTTGGGCGATCGGCTGTGTGGGAGGGGGCCGGAGCGCTGACAACGAGAAGGTTAAATGCTCGCTGCCCCAGAGAGGTGCGTGGGGAGGGAGTCTCGCTGCACGCTCGTCACATGCCTCTGGGCCGAGAATCCCTCTCCCAGCGTCTTTTTTTTTTTTTTTTTTCCCCTCCGATTTCTTGAAGCCCTCTGAAGTAAACTGATGTAGTGTTATTAATGGGGTCTATAATGCTCCAGTCGAAAGCGCGTGTGTTGGAGAAGAGGGAATGAACTTATCTAACTGGTCAGCGAGAGAGAAGAGTAGAAAGACTTTTCTCATTCCTCACCCCCTGTGCACTAAGGCAAAAGGGTTAAGTAATGACTGAGGAATTAAGCAAGGGTAATTTCTTACTAGAATTTGGAACAAGGTTTGTGTTTCTCTCCGACCTCACTTTTGGCGATGACCTGCATTGCAAGAGTCCCCTGAATTTTGCTCGACTGTTGGAGGAAAAGGGAGGAAGGGCTCTTAACATCTCTATTAATACCCCTTAATAATAATAATAACTGGATGATGTCTTCATCCCGGTGATTCTCTGTCATGGGGTGCCTGCCAACCTGTGTCTGTTTCCGTGTGATTGACGGGCTAACAGCAGGATGCTGCCTCCATCGCAGAGGCGAGAGGCACAGGTGAGCTGAGAGGAAAAACTGAGATCTGAAGAGGGTTTCATAATGGGGATATTTGGGCTCTTTCAAGTGTCGCAGACATACTCATTAAACACAAGGAGCTCGGGGCCAGAGTGATGATGGTGTAAGGAAATGAAACTAGAACCGTTGATTATCCAGACAGTTCTCAACAGCCTCCTTCCAGGAGATTTCATGAGCGGCTGTATAAAAGGGAATAATGCTGGCGATTGTAGAGGTACACAGGAAATTAGGGCGGGGTGCACTTAAAAAGGAGTAAAGTAGGGAAACAAACCCCTGATGAGAGGGATGTGGAGATCAGGGCAACAAGGTGCAGTAATGCCTAGGAATCTCCAGTGCTGTTGATGGAGTAGTTATGCTCCAGGAGAGATTATGCTCACTTTTAAAGGTGCACTGGAGAAACGGGGGCAGGACGTGAGCCTGAGAGAAGAAACTTTTTTTATGAAGAGGTTATTTTACCTTTGTACATTTCTTTCTGCCTGATTCAAATGGACTCCACTTGCCCGCTCATCTGTGAATGTTAAAAGGGGATGCTGGACCTGCGTAGGTTACAAATGGACTAAAATGGAAGCTTTTGCTAACTAAACCAATACCTTTTGAAATCAAGCTTGAATGAGCTTGTTAATAAAAACGGGTCTGTTTTACTCCCATAAATGGCTCCTTTTTTTCTTTTTTTTTACCCTTTTTTCCCAGAGGCCGGTCTGATTTCTACCATCTAAAAATCCTGGCGTTGTGGCTAGTATCCAATTCTCCCCTTGATTTAAGAGGCCTCGCCATGTAGGGTTTTTCTTTGAGGGGTGTTCTTCTTTTGAGGTCTCTGGCAGCAGTGGGCATATTCATAGTTATTACTGTGTGGAGAAGACAGGATTTCAGGATTACCTCTCCCAGAGGTCCTGGTGCATCACAGGGGGGACACTTGCTGCCTTGTAGGTAGAGGTGGCGATGTGCCCCTTGCTTTTGCATCCCTGATGGCTACTTGGCAAGCTGGTCCATGGCCTGAGAGAGAGCTGCCCCTTCTTCCAGCTCCAGGCCAGGGCTGTGGCGCTGCCTTAGGGGTGTGTGCCAGCCCCAGTGCGACACCAGCATCGCCCTTGCAGTCCAATAACTGCTACACGGCTTTGTGAGTGAAAAGCTTCCTTGGCAAGCACGTTCCGTGGTGCTGAGAGGTAGTAGAGGCACAATAATACTTTTCTGCGGTTTTTACAAATATCGTTGAGGATGAAGGGGCATGCTGAAAAAAATAACAACAATAATAATGTTTCTGACTTGATGTGTTGTGGCATTGCGTCGAGTTATGTCAGGGAGGTAACAGCGTTTTGTGTGTTTGAAGTGACATAATATAACTTGACTGATGCAACGTGACTTGATATTAGAAAATACGGGTTTACAGTGGAACTTCAGCAGATATCTTCCCAAAACAAATGTTAGGAACCGAGAGAAGAGAGACGAGAGGGGTGGAGGAGAGAAAGTTTGAGAGTGAAGAACTTCAAGGCTTGCATTTTAGTCAGTTCCACTGTGTAAATCAGTGCAGAATTTGCTGTGGGCAAGCCAACATACACACCGTGCAGCGCATTTATAAATTTCAAGATAATGAGAGTTAAGATATTTCTCAAACACATAAATGTTTTGATTGCAAAGACCAGATTTCTGCTTAAAAAAGTAAACTGACATCAGGTATCATGATTAATTCCAACAGATTGTGTTAATTGTAGTTGACTTTAATTTCTGTACAAATGTGGTGGGGGTTAGAAAACTTTTTTTTAATTGTTGGTGTGTGAAATGAGTTAGCAGATAAAGTGTTTAAAAAAAAAAAATCTGTTTGCTAAGGGAGTAATCCAGCCTCTATGACATGATGGAGCAGTAAAGGAATAAAATGTACATTGATCCTGTACCACGTATTTTTGCCTGAGTGCGTTATGTCTGCTGGTTTGCTCTGCCACAGAAGTCACCTGCGACAGACAACGGCTAACTTCATTTTCATCAAAACCTTGCCTTTCTTGTAGTTACCAAATAGTGTAAGTTAAAATGTACCATATATTTTCGGGTAAGTTTGTCCCTTTTGAAGGTGATAGGGTGGAAAAGTACAGAAACACGTGTGGAACATTTTTGGAGGTCACCATTTTCTAGTGGAGACCAATAGTATATCGAAAGTATTAAACTACCTCAAATCTAGAAAAGTCTGCATTTTTGTTAGTTTTTGCATGGATGCTTTTAGCTATTAGACTTTAATCTTTGTGATAAAATCCTCCTCCTTTTTAGCTTGTGACACTTCCTAAAAGAAAGTGATTATTTATGGTGGTTGCACTCTTACTCTAAAATACATATTCAACACTTACAAACAAGTATCACTAGGAAACAGGAGTTGTTGGAAGCACTAGATGAAAACAGTTCAATGTAAAACGTTACGTTTAACATCAAATATTCTCAAGGACTGTTAGGATTAAGTATTGTGAATGAAGGGGGAAGGAAAAGCCACTTCAGCTGGGGATAAGGAATCTAATTAAAAATCGGTATTAAGGATATATAACTTGAGCCCGCTCTCATGCTCTTTAGAGGACCAGTGTATCAGTTGTAAAGGGGAGGAAGAAGTATCATTAAAGCAGAAATCAAATGTTTTCTCAGATTAAAAGACCATGATGAGTGAAATGGTGCTGTCGATCTCATAGTAAAGCGTCTGATCCCGCAATCCTTACGAGAGCCATCGGAGACAACAGATGACTTGTCTGAAAAAGGATTGAGAGTTGTGAGAGAAAGGATAAAAGACACGGGCCCCCAACTTGTCACTTTATATTTGGGCCCTGATGGCATTTCTGTAAAGTGGAGCAAACCTGAAAGGGTTTGTACCACATTTGATTAGGTAAATTCATTTTAATATCGACCTAGTGAAAATGGAACTGTATTCTCTGGAGTATTCCCTGAAACTGATACCTACATGTGAAAACAAACCCAAAATGTTTGTACAGAAAATTAGTATCAAGTTTTAGGTCACCAGAGATGCGTGAAATCTAGCTGGGAGAGCGGCAGGGCTGGTGTAATGCAGCCCGGGTCGGGTCGCCGGCATCAGCTGCGGAGAGTTCTGAGCCTCTGACCTGCCAGAGCTACTGGCTGGTTTCAGACAAAATCCGCGCTCTTAGGGGAGCAGATCCGGAGTGTGGCCGTGCTCTGGACTCAGGCAGTCCCGGGGACAAAGCGCGGCGCGGGCTGAGAGGCGGGCGGTGCGGGTCCCCCCCGACCCGCGGCACCTGGGCGGGTCCGGGCGGGCTGCAGGTGGTGCTGCTGAGCCGGGAAGCCGCGCTCTGCCAGGAAAAACCCTGGCAGGAGGACGAGAGGGGGCCCTGGGAAACGCGTGCATTTATTCATAGCAAGTGTGCAAGGCTCACCAATCGAGAGGCAGAGGCAGCAGTAGTCAGGCTTAGGTATTCTGCCGTCTCTGGATATAATTTTAGATTTAGATTCTGCTTAAATCCAAAGGGAAAACACTTTATAAGGCTGAAAGCTGTGTAGTTGCAACAGCCAGGGTTATGAGCTATCAAAGGCAATTACATTAAAATAGATTATACTGCGTAAATTGAGCCATTTAGAAGGTGAGAACCAAAGAAACAGCTCTGATCCCCCTTCTTTCTAAATTGCAGTTTTAGTTCCTTGCAATTCTGAGGCACAAAAGTAGGTGAGACTGCTTTTGTATCTGCAAAGTGCTTTATTTCTGAGTGTAATTCTAACTGAGTGCAATCTAGGTTAAAAGCTGGACAACTGGGTAATTAGAGCTCACTTGCTGCTAAAGGACGATCAGCTGTACCGTAGCTCATTTGTGTTCCCAGAGACTTGTTCTCCTCTCCCCTGAGCGGAGGCTGCTGGAGAAGGAGCATCTGTCCTCGGACTTTTCTTGGTTGCGGAGATGATGGTGCTGGACAAGGAGGACGGTAGGTGGGCTGAGATTGTGTAAGCCTGTGCTTGGTGTCTTCCGTGTGCTGCTAATGTAGAAATAAATAGTTTTGAAACAGATGTGCGCTGTGCATATCAGAGTGCTCTGCTTTCAGCTTCTGATGTTTTTCTCTTGTGTAGGTAAAAGCATGCTTGCTTTTTATATTTATTTTTTTTTATCTCTTCTCTGACATGATCAAACCAGTCAAGAAGGGTTTACCCCAGGCTCTGTTTGCTGAAGGACATAGCAGAAACAGCTTGATTATTTTTTTTAATATCTATTTTGAATTTTCTTTCTGAAAGTTCCTGTAATATATCCATTTTAGCCTGTTTATTTTAACAGCTTTTATTGTAAATCTAATTTTGAGATTTTCTTTCTTTTTCATTGCATGTCATTTGGGTCTCTTTAATGTGCGCCTTCAATATCTATTTCTCACAGCTTTTCTTCATAGCTATAAACATTATGACAATAAGCT